TGTGATGATTATGGCTTACAGCTCATGAAAACCCCAAATCCACAATCTCAGAAAATTAGAATATTGTAAAAAGGTGCAGTATTCTAGGCTCAAAGTGTCACACTCTTGTCAGCTAATTAAGCCATAACACCTGCAAAGGGTTCCTGAACCTTTAAAATGTTCTCTCAGTCTGGTTCATTAGGAATCACAATCATGGGAAAGACTGCTGACCTGACAGTTGTGCAGAAAACCATCATTGACACCCTCCATACGGAGGGAAAGCCTTAAAAGGTAATTGCAAAAGAAGTTGAATGTTCCCAAAGTGCTGTATCAAAGCACATTAATAGAAAGTTATGTGGAAGGGAAAAGTGTGGAAGAAAAAGGTGCACAAGCAGCAGGGATGACCACAGTCTGGAGAGGATTGTCAAGAAAAGGCCATTCAAAAGTGTTGGGGAATTTCACAAGGAGTGCACTGAGGCTGGAGTCAGTACATCAAGAGCCACCACACACAGACGGATCCTGGACATGGGCTTCAAATGTCGTATTCCTCTTGTCAAGCCGCTCCTGAACAACAAACAACGTCAGAAGCGTCTTACCTGGGCTAAAGAAAAACAGACCTGGTCTGTTGCTCAGTGGTACAAAGTCCTCTTTTCTGATGAGAGCAATTTTTGCATCTCATTTGGAAACCAAGGACCCGAGTATGGAGGAAGAATGGAGAGGCACACACTGCAAGATGCTTGAAGTCCACTGTGAAGTTTCCACAGTTTGTGTTGATTTGGGGAGCCATGTCATCTGCTGGTGTTGGTCCACTGTGCTTTATTAAGTCCAGGGTCAACGCAGCCGTCTACCAGGAGATTTTGGACCACTTCATGCTTCCTTCCGCAGATGAGCTTTATGGGAATGCTGACTTCCTTTTCCAGCAGGACTTGGCACCTGCCCACACTGCCAAAAGCACCAAAACCTGGTTCAATGACCGTGGGATTACTGTACTTGATTGGCCAGCAAACTCGCCTGACATGAACCCCATAGAGAATCTATGGGGCATTGCCAAGAGAAAGATGAGAGACATGAGAGACCACAACAACGCAGAAGAGCTGAAGGCTGCTATTGAAGCATGCTGGTCTTCCATAACACCTCAGCAGTGCCACAGGCTGATAGCTTCCATGCCACGCATTGAGGCAGTAATTGCTGCAAAAGGGGCCCAAACCAAGTACTGAGTACATATGCATGCTTATACTTTTCAGAGGTCCGATATTGTTCTATGTACAATCCTTGTTTTATTGATTGCATGTAATATTCTAATTTTCTGAGATTGTGGATTTGGGGTTTTCACGAGCTGTAAGCCATAATCATCACAATTATGACAAATCACCGCTTGAACGATCTTGCTTTGCATGTAATGAGTCTATCTCATATATTAGTCTGACCTTTTATTAGTCTGACCTTTTAAGTTGCATTACTGAAATAAATGAACTTTTGCACGATATTCTAACTTTTTGAGTTTCACCTGTAGTTTGTGTGTGCAAATGAACAAATCTTGTTTGCAATCAATGACCCTTTTGTGGGGAGTATTTTGTAGTATAGTGTCCCATAGAAAATGTTGATTCTGAAAGGAAAGAAAGAAAGGAAAGGTTTTCTGACAAATTTGTTGAGGTGTACACATTTATGCTAATCTCTCTCTCATATATATATATATATATATATATATATATATATACATACATACATACATACATACATACACACACATAGTTTACATACATTTACCACACATAGTATACATAAATTTACACACACATGAACTTTTATGGCATCCCAGTCTTAGTCCGTAGGACTCAATATTGAGTTTTGTTTGGAAGGCTGTCTACAAGATTCAGGAACGTATCTATGGGAATGTTTGACCATTCTTCCAGAAGCGCATTTGTGAGGTCAGGCTCTGATGTCGGATGAGAAGGCCTGACTTGCAGTCTTCGCTCTAATTCATCCCAAAAGGTATTCTATCGGGCGCAGGCCAGTCAAATTCCTTCACCCCAAACTCGCTCATCCATGTCTTTATGGACCTTGCTTTGTGCACTGGTGTGCAGCCATGTTGGAACAGGAAGGGGCCATCCCCAAACTGTTCCCACAAAGTTGGAAGCACGAAATTGTCCAAAATGTCTTGGTATGCTGCTGCCCTAAGAGTTCCCTTCACTGGAACTAAAGGGCCAAGCCCAACCCCTGAAAAACAACCCCACACCATAATCCCTCTTCCACCAAACTTTACACTTGAAACAATGCAGTCAGGCAAGGACCGTTCTCCTGGCAACCACCAAACCCAGACATGTCCATCAGATTTCCAGACATAGAAGTGTGATTTATCATTCCAGAGAACATGTCTCCATGGCTCTGGAGTCTAGTGGTGGCATGCTTTATACCACTGCAACTGACCCTTTGCAATGCACTTGGTGATGCAAGGCTTGGATGCAGCTGCTCAGCCATGGAAACCCATTCCATGAAACTCTCTATATACTGTTGTACTAATCTGAAGGCCACATGAAGTTTGGAGGTCTTTAGCTGTTGACTCTGCAGACAGTTAGTGACTTCTGAGTACTGTGCACTTCAGCATTTGCTGACCCCTCACTATTATTTTATGTGGCCTACCACTTCATGGGTGAGTTGCTGTTGTTTCCAGTTGCTTGTTATAATACTACTAACAGTTGACTGTGGAATATTTAGTACCAGGGAAATTTCAAGGATGGATTTATTGCACAGGCGGCAACTTTTAAGGTACCACACTTGAATTCACTGTGCTCCTGATAGCGACCCATTCTTTCACAAATGTTTGTAGAAGCAGTCTGTGTGCCTAGCTGCTTGATTTTATACACCTGTGGCCATGGAAGTGATTGGAAAACCTGAATCCAATGATTTGGAGGGGTGACCCAATACGTTTGGTAATATAGTTTTAAAAATACACACAGGGCTCACAATCAGTAAGTCTGTTTTTCACAATTATGGCACCATCCCCCCCCATAATTTGAGTTTATAATGAGCACACAACCCCCCTCTTAGAACACATGGTCTCTCTTATGATACAATGCACCCCCAGAACACACACAGGACCCTCTACCACATAAAGTGCATACAAAGCCCCAGCCCACACACATACAAACACTAACCATAACCAACAACTGGAAAGCAACTATGGCTCTCAGAAGTAATATATAGAGTTAAAGTGACTCTAAAGGCTTATTTTGTTTTTAAATTAACAAAACATGTCTATACTTACCTACTGTGTGGTTTTGCACAGAGCAGCCTGGACCCTCCTCTTTCTTCTGGGGTCCCCCGCAGGCTCTCCTGGCCCCTTCCTCCTGTCGGGTGCCCCCACAGCATGCAGCTTGCTATGGGGCATCTGCTGCTCCGTCCGTATATCCATTCACACACAAAGCTGCAGCTCAGCTCCATCCCCCCCCCCTTCTCATTGGCTCACTGGCTGTGATTGACAGCAGTGGGAGCCAATGGCTCCCGCTTCTGTCTCAGCCAATGGGAAGAGGGAGTCCCGGGATAGCCAAAACTCCAGTGCACATCGCTGGATCGAGAGGAGGCTTAGGTGAGTATTAGGAGGAGCTGGGGTTGATGCATGAATAGAATGCATGAAGGTAAAACACCTTGAACCTTTAGTGTCCAGTAGAGATACTTTGCATATAATAACCAAAACACTTGCAGCCCTAAATGGTCATTGTGGACCCAGGTGTCCCTTATCTCAAGGATTTAAGGATATATTTAATGGTGTCTGCCTAGTTCCAAAAATCATTTTTAATTTGTTATGTTGCACTTATAAAAATGTGTATGCTATTTGTATCCTTTTGGCATTATACTAATGATTGATACAACAATATTGTCGCACAATTCATGATACATGACATTCATAATCTTTCCTGTGCGATGTATCCTACTATGTTAATGCATGTTGGAATTGTATGACCATAGGATTTATAAAAACTTTTTGAAAGAATAAAAAAAAAAAAATCAACATGTGCAAAAGCTCAGGGTTGGTTTGCAGCAAGGTCCTCTATGTGTATTTGCATAGTATACAGGATGCTGGGGATATGTACTGCATGGCAGGTATATTTCCCTGCTGTTTGGGTTGAGGTCCCTTTAAAAGGGATCAATTGTATGCAGTTTGAGTACTCAATGGTTCTCACCCATGCAGGGTGAGAGGTTCTGGGGTGGTCTGCTTGGAGAGGAACGATTTAGGGGGCTCCAGGATTGGTAAGTCCTTATTTTGGACTGGGGATTCAGAGGACAGAGAGATTTTTGTGTGGGAAAGAATATCCACACAATATAGGACCTTTGGTCCTGAAGGAGTTAAGTCACCTGCAAGAGAGGCCTAAAGTGGAACAGGAAGCTGTGAGCAGCTCTCTATGAGGTGCTGAGAGAGCAGGACCCATATGATATGCTAAAAAAGATTGGGGCGATCCTGAAGACAAAGTAATTATCTAGTAAACTAAAGTTAAACTATAACTAAAGTCAAAACTTTTTGGAGTGGATTAGAACCCCTGTCAGTTTTTATTGCTGTTTGTACCCCCATTAAAGGAAATTCACCTTCCTCCTCCTGTTTTCCATTATCACTGAAAGTGAAAGTAAAGAAAATTGCAAATTTTGAGCTGCCCCCAGAAAAGTAATAAAGGGGAAATCTTCTAATGGCAATACTAGTTTTGATGACCTGGGAGTCCCAAGGGATTATCTTAATTTGCATGGATTTCATTTCACTTGCTGTTTGGTTATGAGACAGGAAGTGAAGGGAAATCTTTGCAATGGGACACAGATGGCGAGAAAAAAAATCTGACAGGGGTTATAACCCTCCCTTGCTCTATTCAAAATGGAAAAAAAAAGTTTTGCCTATAGTTCTACTTTAACCACCTCCCGCCCGCCCTATAGTCCAATGACGGGCGCAAGGTGGTTCTCTTATTCTGGGAGGACGTCATATGACGTCCTCCCATTCTCACCGTGCATGCGTGGCTCAGGAAGCGCGGCGATCGGTGTGTCCCTCGGACACAGCGGATCACCGATCACAGAAAGAGCTGAAGATGCCGGCTCGGTCATGTGATCAGCTGTGCCCAATCACAGCTGATCACATGTAAACAGGGAAATGCCGGTTATAGGCATTTCTCTCCACTCGAGCTGTCACGCCGGTAATTGGCTTTCAGTGGAGGGGACATGTACACTGATCATCAGGGCACTGATGATCAGTGTGCCCTGATGATCAGTGTAGCCCCAGAAGTGCCACCTGTCAGTGTCCATCAGTGCTTTGTGTCAGTGCTCATCAGTGCCTCGTGCCAGTGCCCATCAATGCCACATATCAGTGCCCATCTGAGCTGCCTTTCAGTGTCACCCATCCATGCCAGTCAGTACCACCTATCAATGCCAATCAGTGCCGTGTATCAGTGCCACCTACCAGTGTCCATCAGTGCAGCCTATCAGTGCCCACTACTGCAGCCTCATTAGCGTATATCAGTGAAGGAGAACAATCATTTATTTACAAAATGTTATAACAAAAAAACTAAGAAAAAATGTTTTTTTTCCAAACTTTTCAGTGGTTTTTGGTTTAAGAAAAAATAAAAAACCCAGAGGTGATTAAATACCACCAAAAGAAAGCTCTGTGACAAAAAAATGATACAAATTTAATATGGGTACAGTGTTGTATGACCGCGCAATTGTCATTCAAACTGTGACAGCACTGAAAGCTGGAAATTGGCCTGGGCAGGAAGGAGGTATAAGTGCCCTGTAGGCTAGCGGTTAAAAGGTAAAAATAAAATTCCGGGCACACTGTAATGCTAAGTCATAAGAATAAAAGTGCAAACGTTATCACCTAAAGATGTGATAGAAAAGTGCTGCGGTAAATACAGTTATATACGTATTGTGACATGGGGGATCATTAGTTCTAGTGGTAGATGCGTTTTCAAGTAAGTTCACATCAGTCAGGAACTATATTTAAGGGCCCGGTAGCTTATGTTTATTAAGAAAGGTGAAAAGCAAAACAAAAGTCCAACATAAGCTTTCCCGCACTTGGGTTTCTCTCTAGCCAAAATACAAATAATAAATACCAAGCCACCTGGCTCTCTGGTCAGCAGTACCTCTGCTTGTTTGGTCTCCCCAACCACTGGCTATTCCTTACACACAGCCTTGGACTTCTTTACCGCACACAACTTTGAGTCCTTTACCGCACACAGCCTTGAACTTCTTGGATGCACACAGACTCTCTCAGTGGTAGCCACTGCTCTAATTCCCCTCCACTCCTCCAACTCTCAGGAGACCATCATTATAAGGGCTGGGTGCACCTGGGCCCATGCCCTGCTGGTTGTCTACAAAACCCAGACACTGGGTTGGCGATTTCTTCCTCCACTCAAAATTAATACTTCACAGTTCTGCATTTAGCAAATATGCAAACCCTGTGTCCTTTTCCTGACCATTTCTACCTATATTCACCGTGTGACAGGGCCTTGCACTGTTAGAGAGAGATGAGCGAATTATTCAAAAATTCGATTCGGCTGATTCGCCGAATTTGAGGAAGAAATTTGATTCGATGCGAATTAATTCGCTACGAATTTAACTTATTAAAAGGGTTTCTAGGCTTCAGAGAGCCTTTAAATTAGTGCAGAACACTGTACCTTTAATTTAAATGCCCTTGGAGATGAGGAAGGAGAAGGAGAAGGATGAGAAGAAGGAGAAGGATGAGAAGAAGGAGAAGGAGAAGGAGAAGAGAGAAGAAGGAGAAGGAGAAGGAGAAGGATGAGAAAGAGAAGGAGAAGGATGAGAGAAGAAGGAGAAGGAGAAGGATGAGAAGAAGGAGAAGGAGAAAGGAGAAGAAGGAGAAGAAGAAGGAAGAAGGAGAAGATGAGAAGAAGGAGAAGAAGGAGAAGGAGAAGGAGAGAAGAAGGAGAAGGAGAGAGAAGGAGAAGGAGAGAGAAGAAGAAGGAGAAGGAGAGAAGAAGAAGAAGGAGAGGAGAAGGATGAGAAGAAGGAGAAGGAGAAGGATGAGAAGAAGGAGAAGGAGAAGGATGAGAAGAAGGGAGAAGGATGAGAAGAAGAAGGAGAAGGATGAGAAGGAAGGAGAAGGAAACAAAAGAAGATACAATGTTTCAACCGCTGTATGGAGGGAATGTCACAGAACTGTCAGAAATAGCGGAGCTCTGCAGATACACTTAGCGGAGCTCTGCAGATACACTTTTTGCCGGCTTGGAATTCTTCTTATTTTCATCCTACTTCTTCTTCTTCTTCATCCTCATCCTCATCCTCTTCTTCTTCTTCTGAGGATGAGGATGAGGATGAAGAAGAAGAAGAAGTAGGATGAAAATAAGAAGAATTCCAAGCCGGCAAAAAGTGTATCTGCAGAGCTCCTCTAAGTTATCTGCAGAATAGAGGAGCTCTGCAGATACACTTTTTGCCGGCTTGGAATTCTTCTTATTTTCATCCTACTTCTTCTTCATCCTCATCATCCTCAGAAGAAGAAGAAGAAGGATGAGGATGAGGAGGAAGAGGAAGAAGAAGAAGAAGAAGAAGTAGGATGAAAATAAGAAGAATTCCAAGCCGGCAAAAAGTGTATCTGCAGAGCTCCTCTATTCTGCAGATATACACTTAGAGGAGCTCTGCAGATACACTTTTTGCCGGCTTGGAATTCTTCTTATTTTTTCATCCTACTTCTTCTTCTTCTTCTTCTTCTTCCTCTTCATCCTCATCCTCATCCTCTTCTTCTGAGGATGAGGATGAGGATGAAGAAGAAGAAGAAGTAGGATGAAAATAAGAAGAATTCCAAGCCGGCAAAAAGTGTATCTGCAGAGCTCCTCTAAGTGTATCTGCAGAATAGAGGAGCTCTGCAGATACACTTTTTGCCGGCTTGGATCTTCTTCTTCCCTCATCCTCAGAAGAAGAAGAAGATGAGAGGATGAGGATGAGGATGAAGAGGAAGAAGAAGAAGAAGTAGGATGAAAATAAGAATAATTCCAAACCGGCAAAAAGTGTATCTGCAGAGTTCCTCTATTTCTGACAGTTCTCTGACTTTCACATTTACAGCGGTTGAAACATTGTATCTGTTTCCGAATAAAAACATCTGTATCCTAAATGGAAACAAATAGATACAATGTTTCAACCGCTGTACATGTGAAGGAACTGTCAGAGAACTGTCAGAAATAGCGGAGCTCTCTGCAGGGACACTTTTGCCGGCTGATCGGGAAAAATCCGATTCGCGCACCCGAAGTAGGCTAATATTCGGATTCGACGCGAATCGAATTTTTCCTGAAATTCGAATCGAATTCCACTTCGCCTGGTTCGATTCGCTCATCTCTAGTTACAGTATATAAAAACAGAATCGTGTAAAAATAAAGCTCAAATATCAAATGATTAACAAACATACTAATCATAAAAATCTAAAAATCACACACAAAAATAAAACCAATACAAAATGAAATCATAAACATTTTCCACCTATATGTGCAAGCTGTGACAAGTGTTTAAGCATGTATATGACCAGCATATAGATACAAACAAAACACAAAAAAAAAAAAAAAAAGTGTATTATAACATTCATTAAAAGCTTTAACACAAAACAAAATATTGAGTATATTCTTCAAATGATCCAGTACATTCCACTTATAGATGTTACGCATTTTGATAGATCATCTTCAGAAGTACATGGTAACGATCTTTAAAAGGTATAACATGTATATTATAAATACATTCATATTAGCATCACTCATATCATCATCCAAGCATATCCATAAAAAGTGTTTCTTCATACCAGCATGATAAAACTCATAATTCTTAGTATTAAAACCATAGTGTCACTGGAATCCTACAGATGTGTATTGTTTCTCACCCATTACAGGTGCAGGCAAAAGGTTCTTATGAAATAAAGGGTACACAGCAGATGTCAAAGAGCCCTCAATGGTCATCTGTTTGTAGAATATGGATATTCTACACAGCTGAAACTGAGCCTATCACAGCCTCCACAGACACAGGCCGCAATGATGATGCATCTTTGCCACATGTGAGGAGTATGTCAGCTCACCAGAGATCCTTTCATCTAAGAGATGCACAGCTCTAAAGGGCTCAGACAGGATCCTCACTTTTCCTCCCCAAGGATCTGAAACAAACATTCCCTCCTCTTTCCATTAACCCTAATCCACTAGGGAGGAACAAAGTCCTGCATTTTCTGTAGCTTTACCAGTCTTATATCTTAACAAAGATATGGCAGAACCTAATTTTCAAACAATCCAACTCAATACAAGACCCAGACAATATTCCAGTCAATACTTACTCAGATGATTCAGTTCTCATTATACTCTTTTCAACTTCTACAACAAGAACTCACTAAAACATGTTTTATGCAATGTTATAACCGCAGAGCTTAAAAAAGTCCTTCAAGGCATACAGTACGTGATAGATTGGAAACTATTGAATCTAAAATGGATAATACCTCTGCTAAAGTCAATCAAAATACTAAATTGATATTGGATCTTCAATCACAACTTGATCAGGTGAACGGCAAAACTGAAGTTTTGAAAAACTGATATAGACAATACAATATCTGCATACAAGGTTTACCAAAATCTATCACGAATCTTTATGAGGCAGTACAATTACTGATGAAAATTTTAATCATAGATATCTCAGAACATCCTTTAGAAGTATTCAAATCAAAAAAACACCTCCAAAAATACAACTAAAACTCCCCCACAACACAATCAGCACCCTCCCCTGAAGGTGTACAAAATAATATATGTGAAAGTGTTATCCAAAGAAACACAAAAAACAACAACAATAGTGAAGTCCAATCATCAATTAGTCCATCATCTATTAACCCTAACTTCCCTATTTCTTCACAGTGAAAATAAATTCAGGATGTAGAATATAATCAAATCAATTCTTCCAGCGATATTCCCGATGTATATACCTCAAAAAAAGAAAATATCATATAGTGCATTACCTTTTATAAACATAAATATTATTCCAATATATATACACCATGCAATTTATGCAGTGAATATTTGTGAAAAATAGTGAAAAAACGTGAAATAATCTGTGAAAACACTGTGTATGTGAATCACTCTTCAGTGCCACACAAAAATGCAAACTGGTGTGCATTTCTATTTATAGTAAGGATACCCTTACCAACAATCCCAATAAAGCATGCCCATAATAATCCAACAGCTAAACAGGATAGCTCTCCTGCAGATCTTCCCCAAGCATAAATGATCTCCAACGATACTCCCTGGATTCCTCAGTCACAGTACTCTAAGTATCTCCAAACACTTCACTCCATCCAGAGACAAAAACATGAGGGACAATAATAGTGTAATACCGCCAATCACATGATATGACCTTTATTAAAACTGCTCACATCAAATAGCCTTTAAAATCGCTTAGTTAAAGTGAAGGAAACCTCACAGCCATCCAGGAAAACGTCCAAGTAGTCA